CATGAATCTTCCTAGTGTTGTCTGCTGCGTCGACTTTGATGACCTTGTCATCTCCCCGCACAAACTGCTTCCCACAGTATCGAAAGCGGTTAGTGTCTGAACTACCGACACTGAACTTGGCAAGAAAAGACATCACTTCCTCGCCTTCCGGAAGAAAACTATCTAGCAAATCGTCCACGTGAGTGCACATGAGGGCATAAGCGTCTCCTCCCTGCTCACTTACAACCCTGGGAAAAACTGGCTTGCCTTCAGACCGCTCTTACGTGCATCGGCATCCAAACGCAACCAAAGCCTCTTCCTGAGTCTGTGATTCCGTACACTGGGACTCTCACGAGAAAAAGGACATTGGGTTCTACACCTGGCAAACCTCCTCTAGAGAAGGACGCGATCCAGTGGTCGTCCTTGGAAATATGCCGAGGTGATATCAGCGGAATGGATGTCGGCCTGGTGGCATGCGGCCCAACGTACTGCAGACGAGACAGTGCATCTCGACGTCGGCCGTTGGGCTGTCTGATCTCAAACCCTCTGTCACTTCGAAGTTTCCTCGCGAAACTAGCCTGCTTTTGCACAGGGGCTTGTAGTCAGGGTCTCTCCCTTGCTTGTACTGCGCTTTATCTACATCCACCCATTTAGATGGGATGCATTGGTGCCCTTCATCAATGAGTTCTTGCGCTTGTTCTGTAGTCAAAGCCACTACGGCCCCGAACTCTTCAAACTTGGCCCATTCCCTTTGCCTTGCTTCCTGCAGGGCTTTCTGCACTTCTGGGGGGGCAGATTCGTAATGGATGCTTTTCAGGACTTTCTTTCCTTGATCTACTTCCTCTTCGGTCCGTGCAAGAAAGCTAGTCCACATGGCATGTGCGTCTTCTCGATCTTGCTCTCTCTCTCTCTCTGTCTCTCTGGCGGGCTCTCTCGAAGTGTGCTTGCAGAGATGCTGGCAAGTCGTTCAAATGATCATACACATTAGGCCATGCATTTGAAGTACCCGTTGCTTCCCTACGGGATGGCTGCAATGAGGTTCCACGTTCACTCTCTGGCTCTCACATTGCGACCATGGTCACTTCCTGCGGCAGGCGATGGGCGTGAGTTGGAACCTCAGGACCTACTCCTACTCAACTCTTCAAGCGCGTCTTCACTTTCGGATTGGTCTTCACCAAAGAAACCCGCCTGATTCCTACGTCTAACACATCATCTTCTGGAACAGGGGTTAGCGAACCGGCATCCGGGATTCGGGGTTCGGCTTCTTGGGATTCGACGAGAATCGGGGATCCGGGTTCACTCGGATCCGCGCGTGCATCAAGAAAAGACTGTTGAACACCTTCCTTGACAACGTTTTCGGGGAAAACAGGTTCACCATGCAAAACTGCGTGCGCTAGTGCCTCAGTCGGAGTCGCGATCTTCACGTTTTGATTGGCAACCAACACGGGAACATTTCCACACAACAACCACAAATTCCTTTCACCTTCCACCCGACTAGTGGGACTCCATGTGGTGCCCCCACGCTGGTTGTCTCGGCGAAATGTCACGAGATCACCTACTGCGCACTCCTGGGAAAAACTTGAAGCATTGCGAGTAAGTGCACGAGACACCCTGGACGAGCAGTCAAGGTGTACGAATGCCTTCTGGGCTTCCTGTCTGGCCATGTGCTGTAAGGCGAAAATACTCTCTGGATTGTGACGGGCTTCAATAGCTCCAAGTTCGGCGAACCGTTCTTCCGACAATGGACTCGGATCTGATCGGGGCCCTTTTCCAAGTACCCACTGACTAGGCGAGAATCCTCCAACTCGGCTGGAGTTGTTCTTGGTGGACACTACCTCGAGCAAGACCTGCTCAACCTGTTCTCTGCCAATAGCGCCTGTCTCCTTGCAGACCTTCCTGAACAGTGACTTAACAATACCCCCATGACGTTCTACACGACCAAGGTTCTCCGGACTTTCCAGAGGAGTGTGGAACACTTGAATTCCATGTTCATCCATGTACTTCTTCATGACACCTCGGTTATGTAGACCCCTGTCACAGGCAATGTTCACAGGATGTCCACACCATGAAAACAATCGTTTCTTCAGGGCTCTCAAACATTCTGCAGAAGACGGTTGACCAGCTCCAAAACGAACAACCTCACACAGCTGAAAGGTCGCGCCGAGGCAAACCATGTTCAACACCTGAAACTTGTCACCTGAAATGTCATGGACCTCGAACACATCTATGCCTACAGTGTGGTTGAACGAGTAGTTGTTAGGTAGTGCTGTTTTGTGTGTGGCCTTCTTCTGTGATGTTGCCTCACACGTCTCGCACCTGTGGATCCTGACAGCGTCGATGAATTCCTTCCTGACCTTTGCTGCACGAACGAGGTGGATCATCGTCTGTTTGGGGACGTGTCCAAACTGCCTATAAGTTAGATTGGTGGCATCTGAGCCTGATTTGGTGGCATTTGGGTTGGAGATTTCCTGCTCCACTACCATGTTTTGGCTCCGCTACCAATGTCATAACCTCCCACCCGCCCACCTTCATAGCCAGACACTCAAGACTGACTGGCAAAACATTGCCTCAATGGACAACTTTGCACATTGGTTTGAAAGGTGCGAGCGTTGCCTCAATGATTTGCACATTGTTTGGCAAAGCACTGCCTCAATGGCACACACATTCGCCAACTGACTTTGCACAACTTTGGGGGTTGGAACACTTTGGAAAAATTGATCTAAGAACTGATCGCATAGAGATTTGGCCTACCCTGCCCGTGTCCCTTTTTTTGGGTTTGGGTTGAGGGTGCAGGGTTGTCTCGCCGACCGAGCCCGCCACGCTGTGCCACAGATTGTGGCATTGATTGGTCGCCCAGATGAGGCGCACTCAAGTGGGTGTAGGGTGTTTTCCACACATGGATGGCAATCAAGTATGGGTTCCAACCAGTTATTATCCATGTATTTGTTTCAAAAACTGATTGCGAATTCCATGTTTGTGGATTCTAGGTGTCCAGGATGCCGGGAGGTAACACCTAATGCCTCGGAAGGTCTCTCAGCCTGAAATTTCCACAGAGATGTATGCACTGTACATAATACATATATATATACCTTTAGAGACCTTTAGACCTTTAATATCGGAGACCTTTAGAGATGAGAAGGCCCACTCTTGTTGAATAGAAGGCCCCAGAGAATAGAAGGCCCAGAGTGGTGAATCTCGTTCGTAGGTGCTCCCTCAGCACCGGTCCATGGACGCAGAGGCCTGCCACCGGCGGCCAAGAAGGGAATGTGTTCTAGAAAAACGCGCGAAAACAGAATGTGTTTGGGAAATGTGGTTGGTTTTGAGTTTCCTGAATCATAAGCAGTGTTCGCAAACGGTCTAAATTTGAACGTTGGCTCAACAAAACTTCAGAAATTGCAGCGTTTGCACTCTGACAGTTCTTTTTCTCGGAACTTTTCGGAAGTGGATCTAAACCCATCTCTGTAAATAGCTCACCCTAAATGCTCATAATGTATCAGAACAGCCTGTAAGCTGTTACAAAACCCCAAGCATGGCACAGGTGCGGCACGGGCATTGAGCAGAACCCGACAAAATGTTCAGTTTGAAAGGTTAGTACAAACGAGTATCAACCAGAACTACACAAGACATAAGTTCAAAACACTGTCTTGCCACAAACTAGAGACACCCACACCCTGGCCAAATGCCAAAATCACAATGACTGCCCCTCACATTTGGACACCACTCTTGGATGCCAAAAGGGCTGCGCGTTCCTCAGACGCCATCCACGCCTTGTATGCGGAAGCGCGCCTCTCATTACTTGGTGCCATTCCACTCTCTTGGATCCAGCGCGACACAAAGGCAACGCAAGCGGTGTGCATGTTCTTGTTGGTGTCCGGCTTCTGCTGTGGTGTAGCCTGCTCACGGAAAACCCGCTTGGACACATACTTGGCATGCCACTCACGCGAGTTCTTGCGCTTGAGTACTTTCTTGCGTTCTTCCTCCTGTAGTTTCCGCGTCTCCTCATCGATGTTGAGCACCTCGCCAGCAGCAGCATTTCCTGAAGAAGGATTTGCCATGCGCACCTCACCAGCAGCAGCATTTCCTTCAGAAGCAGCTTGAGCTTGGTTTGCCACCGCATGAACTGGTTGCTCTGGCACTGGTTCCGGAAGTGTTTCCTGAGAATGGGTCACCGGCTCATACTGCCGCTGACTGTCTTCAACATCTGGGTAGCCACCCTCCAAGACGGTGTCATTCAAAGCCTCGCCAATTTTGGCCTCGTCCATGACACGAGGCGCTTCAACTTGGGAGTTTCTTCTTGTTCAAGGGCAAACTCATGAGCCAAGTTCACTCTCAAATGCTCATTCTCGCCACTCTCCGCAGCAGGCCTCAAAGAACACAATATGGCAACCCAATATTCTTAATATCAAAATGTCAATGAGGTTTTGAAGTTTTATGTAAGTGCGCGACTCAACTGGCTTTGCAAGGAAAGTGTTGTAATGCATTGAAGCCAGATCGCGAAAACCATACCCAGAAGAGGGCCAGGTGTGACTGGAATGAAACCCAGTCGCGTGGATAGGGCGGAACTCAACTGGAGCAGGTGCATCAAACTCCAAATCCACGTCGGCATTGGGTATGGATCTCTGGGCTGGTCATCGACATCACACACGCTAATGAATGACACAAGCTAGCGTGCTCGGGCAGACAGACCTATCAAACACGAGGAAAGCATCTTGCTGTTTGTTCACTGAACGCTGGAAGCTCGACCATCTTAGTCAAAAACAATCAACTTGCGACTAATTAAGCCATCTGATTTTTGCAGCACACATCTTCATCTATGTTTCTGAGCCCGTGTCAGCGCATCGCTCCCAGCAATACAAAATGTGTTTCCACTACACACAGTTGGAAAACAAACTGGTTAAGAACCAAAGTTCTCGCCAGGAAAGATGACTGGTCTACCCCGGCAAAAGTCCCCGTGCTTTGCACAGGTGATACCCCCAAGGCCCAAGGCCCAATACTTCCTGGTGTGAATCATACCTACCCCCTCATACCAGCCGCTTGCACTCGTCCTTGGACAAAGGGATGTCGGCGCGAAGATACCACAGCGGCTTCGCTGGGGCCAAGCACTTCTCCGTCGGGTAGATTCTCATCCGCCACACCTCCAAAATTCGCATCTCCGAAATATCAGAATATCAAATTCAATATCAAAACATATCAAAATACATCAGCATCTGGTGAACCCAAACCCGGAAAGCATTAAAACGCACCCAAAAGCACACCCTTGTACACCAGAAGCTGCAACCCAGGCACCAGCCACAAAGGAGAATCTAGGAGCTTGTTGGCAGGGAAGAAACTTGCCAAATTGGAATGCTTGAGGTGGCGGGTCTGGACCGCATTGGACTTGAAGAGTAGCTGGCCCTCTGCATCTGCTTCGATGTTGAAGCGGTCGTCAGCGCGACCTTGGCATACTTCCGGCGGCCGGGCAAACGCATGTCCGCCCAGCGTGAAATCCACGAAGTGGTCGGACTCGACCTTCTGGATCGCAGCCCGCAAGGTTGTCAGCTCACCGTCAACACCATTCTCCTCACAAGGTTTTCGAGGTGCCCATAAACTCTCAGAAACAAATTGAACATGTGTGAACAACATCCAAAAATGGGTTCGAATATCTTGACATCAATATCAATATCCAACAATCCAAACCAAGACCACGGTCCTCCACCAAAACTGCAGCTTCGTCGGTCTCAAAGCGGCGGAACAAACCTTTCCCCGGATTGCTTTGCTCAAACTTGGTCGCTTTGTCATGGGTCAGCCAACTGCCGGGCCCATGGCACAGCAGGGGACCCTCTGATTCCTTCAAGGTTGTCGCCTCTTTGGCGCAAGCAAAGAGCACACTGCCCGGGAAGACCAGAAGAGACGCAGGGCACTCTGGCACTGGTACTTCAGCAATTGGTTCACCATACTTCTCCTTCACTTTGTCCAGCGAAGTTGGCTCGTTGGGCATGAAGGCAGCTGAAGCAGAGGAAGTACCAGAGGAACTTCCAGTGTCACCGGAGGAAGAAGGAGTCGTAGTAGACGCTTGGCTGGCCGAAGATGCGGCGCCCCATGCTCGATCGAAGTTGACAAGCATTTGGCGCCATTCACCTCCAAAAATTGGGCATTGTAAGAAATGCTGCCTCAGATCAGATGGTAGCAGAAGTCTGCCATCCACCAACTGGCACAATTCAAGATGCGGCGCTTCCACCGTGCCAGGAAGGTCTTCACCAGAAGGTTCCTTCTTGTAGCGTGGAAGGACTTCCTTCATGGGTTGTCTGCCATCTTTCCAGGCCTGACAGCCAAGTCTACCCAACACTCAATATCATGAAAAGGTCATTCAATACAATTCGAACACAACTTCTTGGGATGACAATTCAATACAATGGGATTGGAATGACAATTTCTTGAATATAGATTCAACATAAATGTGTAATAAAATTCATTCAGCCTGGACAAGCGTGCTCTTTACAATCTCCTTGCTCGTCTTGCAGTGGACGTCATTCGTGGAGTAGAAAAGCTACTGAAACCCATGTGCATCGCAGCCAGCTCAACAGCTCCATCATAGGTACATGGGTGGATCACCATGGTAGGCTTTTCAACCTTCTCAGAACCTCACCACACCAAGTTCAATACAAACACATGCCTTTTCACCCAGACTTGTAATTAACCTGTAGAGGCCTACGTGCAAAAATGGAAAGTTGAAACCTTGGTCTTGGTCCTTTTCAAGTTTCGCAGGAATTTTGAATCACTGGCAGGAAACTCTGCAAGCTCGTGAGGATGGCCCGAGGCACTGCACTGCCTCCCAGCCATTGGCTGGTTTCTTGGAAGTCAGTGAGGTTACGGCGAGCATCGTTGCAGGTCATAACATCTCCTGGAATGACAAAATCTTTTTCAGCTATTGCTGATGGAAACTGGCCCTCTGGAAGTGCCTGTCGGTTCCAAAGCGGGGAGCTGCAATACCTGAAGTTGGGAAATGTTGGGTCACGGGTAAAAAAATGTTACTACCGCAAAAAGACCTTTCCTTTTGCTGCGAAAAAAGAACATCGCCAGAACCCCATACTGAAGTTGAAGATTAAGCTGCGAGTTCACCTGGACAGGGGCTGCTTCCACGCCCCGAAGAGCTCTATGAGCGGTTCCCTTATTCGGGAGTGTACTGTCTGCCACTCCTAAATAGCACACGTACGCCGACGGCAGCTCCCTGTTCTGGTGGATTTGGCTTGTGTTGAGATTGAGGCAGAAAGGCCTCAACTCAACCTTGTGGTTGACAAGCTTATCTTCCGGCCGGCGCCAATCGCTCCTCAATGATCCGCCCGCTGTTGACCCACAAAGAAGCGGTGGGATGATGACTGCCACAGAACCTTTGAGACAGAGCCAATTTTGCAAAATCCCTTTACAATATGTTTTTCTATAAACTAAAACTTGGAGCGCAGAAAAACTTGGAGTGCACAAAAAACTTGGTTCCCTTACGGTACGGATTGCGAAACAGCATTCTCTCCACCAGCTCGCCAATGGCATTGATCTCTGGCTGATTCATCACCCCAAATTTGGTACAGTCGATGTACACAGTTGTGTTCACATCATCGACCGGCACCTGCACAAGACACCCTAAGGCTCCCTAAACAAACTAAAGACTCCCTAATACTACGAACCCCACACACTTAAACCATAAGACTTGGAGGTTGAAAACAACACCTTATGAAATGTAAGTGAGTTCTTGCCTTCCGTGCGCTTGCCAAAACCTTGTAAGCCATGTCGACGGTCGGCAGGTTCTTCAGGTCAGGGACATGAAGGATCTTGTTGAACTTCTCCATATGGTTCTCACTTAGCCTGAAAGATTTCTGGTGACTAGGCTTCAAGGGGCCTTCAACACTTAAAGCAAAATGAATACAAAATTCAAACGGTACAAGTTCACACTGAGGAACTCCTTTCCAACCTGAACCTGTGCTCGTTCATGCATGACTGACACAACGTGCTTCCGCTTCTTGTTCTCCGAGACCTTTGCATTGAACGCCGTCATGGACGCCATATCTCTCATCATCTTCGCCTTCACCTCGCGGAACTTGGCGGCTTGCGCTTCATCTTCCATAGCAATCACTTCCTCAGCGTTTGCTACCACTGGAACCGACTGTGTGTCAATGAGGTCAGACCAGAGCGATAGATGCTCAATCTTCCACGTGCTCAATTTCGATGAAACTGCTGCATCCACTTCCTGGATGTAATCTCTCAGTGAGACGGCGACAAGCCATGAACTTTCAATGACCCAACGCTCAATATAACATATATAATATCAGACATTAGAAAAGTTGTTCATGTGGAAGATACAGGTCTCGGGAAGCCAGAAGCAAGCGCGTGGTTAACAAAAATGCACTGTTCAAAAGATGTTTGAGTATGTTTGAGTTAGATCAGACAATTGAACTGCCAAAGCAAAATAAAGAAAACACCAATGCAACAATAAGGCACCGCTGCATGAAGCTCTTCTTCACATCTGCCTCTGTTTCTTCCTTGAAAGTGGACAGCTGACGCCCCTCTTGCAAAGCCGCAGCGTAAACGCAGGCAAAATCGCACAGGCGATCAAACTGATCAGCGCTCACACGCATTCGCGGTCGCGCGCTTGGACGCAACCTCTTTCCAGCCTCGACAAACTGGTTGACCACCAGTTGCAGGTGCATCACCTGGCTCTCCTCGGTCACAGTCAAAGCCTTCCTCATTGCGCATGAAGGCATTCTGGGGGCTGATCCGATCAACCACCTGGACCCACGAAAGTGATCAACACAAAAGGCACTCTACCGCCATTTGTGGTGATGTAAATGTCGAGCAATCACCTCTCGCGCGGCTGGCGAGGTTCCAGCAATGAGGTTTTGGAGACCTCGCAGCTTCTCATCGTCAATGTAGTTCTTGGCTGCCAAATCTCCTGTACTGTGCAGCTCGCCCACCACCGATCGTAAACGCATGTGTGCCATCCTTCATTTTGATCTCCACGATGGCACTGAAACGGAGTGCCAAATGCAAGGAATTGGGGGGTTGGCGCTCGGCGCCGCGGTAGCTGAGACAAATGTTGCGGTAAGACCGCTTGGCTTCTTCCATGTTCAGGGCCACCTAAAGCAGCGTTCGTTGAGCTTTCTGTGGCACATGCCATTACCAACAAACTACCAACAAAAATAAAACATATAAAGACTTGACCGCATAAATTGCATTAAACTTTACCAAAGCACGTGGCATGGAATGAGCCACATACGATCCAAAATTGGAAAAAGTGGTTTGAGCAGCTCCTGTCCGTGAGGGTCCCGCAAATCCACCTCCTGCGCAGCAACCAAAAGCGTGCCCAAGACACTGCACCTCGTCCATCCCTTCACAATGTCAATAGAGTTGGGAGCAGATGTGAAAGCACCAGGTCCTCCAAAGGTAAGGGCAGCAGAATGGGGGAGGTTGCCGGTGGCTTTGTATTCATGTGTTTTTGAACCTCTTTGGGCACTAAAGATTTGTTTAAACACGTTTAGATTTGAACCCGTTTAGGTTTGGTTAAAAGGGTGTGCGAAAGATGTCCGATGGTCCTGAGCTCTTGGGGACGTTGCCATCGATCGGCTCTCGGCCCAAATCAATGCCCGAAAGAGCATCGACTCGAAGCAGGTTACCCAGTCTTCGATCACTGCGAGGCCATCGGGCGGGGCCTCCAGCCTGAGTAGAATGGATTGGCAAAAAACTCTTGTGATTTTGTAGCCTCTTTTAAAGGAAACAAAGGATACTATTTCTTGGATGCTTTGCTCAAACTGAGCTTGGTTCCGCAAGTGTGTGAAAGGGACTTTGATTGTCTCCCCATCGGAGCTTTCGTCGATTTCCTTGCTGCAGTGTTCAAGCAGCAAAGAAAAAGTAAAGTTAGTTTTGTTAGGGATCAACAGGCTCCAGGAAAACAGATTGCTAGAGATTTTTCTCAAGCCAGGGTTCAACACTCTCTTTGTAGAGGTGGGGCTGGCCTCTCACGCTAGCGTAGTCTTTGAACCATTGCGCCATCTGCTTGGCGTGCAAAGCATTAGCTTCTGGAGATGGTCCACAAAGGTGATCTAGTACCATTTGTGCGGGATGGGCCTTCGGCTCCACACTGCTCTCATCTTTGAACAGCACCATGAAGCGGACTAGCTCCTGTGTGTTTTTGGAAGCAAACCATACAATATATAGATTGTTAAAACCATATTATATTATATATCTATATATAACGATAAAGAATCTTTATAAACTAAAAACTATACAATATACCTTGGGAGACCACCAGTCTTGATTCAACGTGGTTTGCAAACACACGTTTCCAGTGTTTCCAAATTGTTTTCAGGATCCTTGACAAGCCCCAGGTCTCCCTCTGGGAGTTTACTCATCTTCTTCTCATAGATAATGCAAAGTCGCTTTGCTGCAGGCGAATCCTCCGCTTTGCCATCCTCCTTGTGAGATTGTTTGTGTCCTTGTCTGCCGCTGGTTTTAGCTGAAAAATGGAAAGCAATATGATTACATCGTTTTCATGAGTTTTTCCAAAATAGGAACCTTGTTATACCTAACTTAACTGAATTCATTATGGCTGGGTTCTACACATGTGATTTGCAAACAAAATTCACTGGGAGATCAGGAATCTGTGAGATATTTCACGCGTTGGGGCAAGTTTCCACATTCAGCTTGTCTGCGCCAAAAAAAACATTGTTTCAGCTCAACTAGCGCGCGCTGTGGAAGGTAGTCTACTCCGCTACCTATATGTCCTATAGAAGTTGCACGCGGAGCAACCCGCTATAGGCGGATCTCCCTGCCATGGCGTTCTCTGCTAGCCAAAATTTGGTCAAAATGACTTTGGGTGGAAAAGAGGGATCAATTTTTCCTTTTTTTCCGCTTGCCGCAGCTTTGCTTTGCTCAACAGGAGCTGACGCCTTTGCCTTTGGCTTTGTCTCAGTTCCGGCCTTTGGTTTGGCCTTTGCTTTTGTTGCTGGCTCCTTGGCCGCGGCCTTTGCCTTTGCTTTTGGGGCAGCACCGGTCTCAATCTCCTCCGCTGGAGTGTCTGCTTTTCTCTTTTGCGGGCTCGTCAGAATCAAGTCTTCTGTTCCCTTTCGTGTCTCGTTTCCTTTCTCCTCCTCAGGGTCCTCTGGCTTGTGTTCTGGCTCTTTGGGCGCAACTTTTGCGGGCTCTCCCGCTGTGGCCGCTGCGGCGCTGCCCGCTTCGGCGTTGGGTTTGTCTGGGCTTTTCGCTGCCTCTGCAGAAGCGGGCAACTCAGAACCTGTCGCTGTGGCTGCGGCGGCTGGGCTCATAGGGCAGCTTGGAGGCGCTGCCTTGTCCTGAAATTCCTTTGCAACTTCTTTGGCAGGAGAACCCTTGGTTGCGCCTGGCCCTGGCAGCTCAGTGGGTTGTGGATCTGCGCGGTCGGCTCCGCCGCCGCCGCTGGCTCCTGTGGCTTTTGTTTCGTCTGGCAAGTCAATCTGGGGGAGTTCTTCGGCATCGCTCTCAACTGTCTCTGGCAAGTCACTTTCTTCCACAGTTCGAGGCGCAAACGGGGCTTCCCCCTGACTTTGCCAGAGCCAGAGTGGCTCTGGCCCTGGCTCTGTCTGCAGGGCTGGCGGTGCTACCCGCTGTCTTTTTGGCGGCCGCAGCAGGTAGGCCATGGCGAGCCCCTGCCTGGGGACAAAGGGCCCAGAGTCCTTAGACTCTTGCAGAAAAAGTGAAAAACACTAAAAATTGCAAAAAATGTTGTGTGACCTTTTTTTTTCAAAATTGATAGATTTTGTTGAAATTTGATAGAATTTGATGAAATTTAATGAAATTTAATGGAATTTCATAAAATTTGATGAAATTTATTAGAATTTGATGAAAATGGACCAATTTCGATAAAATTCTTGAGGAAACAATGATTTTTCAACAAAAACTGCTTGAATTGTCTTAATTTGCTTGTTTCTCGCTATGA